CAACTATCTCTCTATCAGTAAATACTTCACATAACTCTAAAACACTCATCACTACTATGGTGTCAAATTTAATTGTGTACATAAGAAATGGATAAAGTAATTAATTAGTGAATTCAGTGTAAGTAAACATTGTTTCTATTAGGTAGGGTACTGTAATTTTCGGAAATATACACATATGTATAATGTTATACACACATCACTCGAACGAGTACTTTACACTAAATAATGATTATGTGCATCATTATTTATTTAAAAGTGGTTCCAGTCAAGTTGTAATTTTATACTATGCATTGTTCATGTTTTCTGCAATCTAAAAAATGCATTAGAGTAATAATAAATTAATCGTAAAGATAATTCCCCAGAGAAATATGATTCTTTTCAAAAGTGTAGTGTGATGCGTACATTACAGGTTAAATCAGTTATCACAACATTCTAGATACGGTTTACCAACGAATACCAGATAGCATGAAACTTTGATGAATCAGGATTGCATCCTAACTACGTACAAACACTTAACTTTCCTATATTGTTTGGTTTTATCATGATTCTCTGTAGTTGTTGGTGAATTCGCCACAAGTAATTTAAGTATCTCCATCTTTCAGATGTTATTAATCTTATTTAACGGTTGATCAATGTCAAGCAAGTATGAACTTCAGGTTCATATATTAAGGTTTCAATTTTTAAGGAGCTTTAACATGAGATGGTGGTTGGAGTTGGTCGATAGGAAACCCTGAACTTAGGTTTCGTGCTATTTGGCACTTGTCATCAAGGTGTACCTATAATCTTGATGAAACTGATGCTCCCTGACGGATTCGATCTCATAGCAATATAGTGCACGCGATATTGAGTCACCTAGATTAGTTGCCACATTGCAACTTGGTCAATAGAATTGCACCAAGGAGGACTTGATATACATTACATAGATCACTACCCAGTGATCAATCAATTATGAGGAGTAGCTTTGTAGTGATAGAGAACTCAGGTGGGGAAAACCAATTTATTCGTTAATACAAAATTGCAGAATGTCTTCGTGAAATACGAAAACTATACATTAAATACTTCATTTGTACATCTTCCATCAGTTGTCTCCTACATAATCAATCGCTCCTTCATTCTTATTGCTACTGCAATTACTCTCTGTTTACATATCTGTTCTCTTCAGTTCGATCTTCTCAACCTTTTTCTGCCATGCATTCAACTTCTGACTGCTGTTAGATACTACTTATGTCTGTCGACATAAGTAACATACACCTCAGCTTTAATAGTAATAAACCTTCTGGCACACTATTTTCAAGTAGTTTGTTTCTCTTTATTATTGTTTTATCATTTTAGTTTTAAGATGATTCTCCGAAGAAAAAAACTAACCTACACTTCACTTCTGGGTACATATGTTTAAAGACTAATCATTCCAGTGTAGTAATTTTAATTTGACTTGATTAAGTAACAACAATTTACCCATGATATGAGATAATGGTGATTTTGAACAAGGTGTCATCATTTCCAAAATTCTACAGATATTGGTTTATATGGAAGTAGTTTGGAAGAAAGCAAACCAGTGCCAATAAAACCATGACGAGTTATCAGTTTATCAGTTTATCAGTTCACTGACTGCTGGATTGAACAGTGTTATTCGGTGTAGACTACTTGGTTAGTTGGTGTCGGTTTGATTATTGTAACCAATAGTTGAACATGTTTGGTAAAGTGAACCAGAATAGGTTACAATGATGCAGATGCATTCACTCCTTATCTTCTCTTAGTACTTGATTTTTAATTTGTGAATTCATTTTGTCTTCTCGAATCACACTCTATATACTCATAATGTTTTCTACTACCAACACCATAAACATTAGTATTGTTAGTTCAACTACTACTCTTTTATTTATCATGATAATTTCGTTTTGTTGTTTGTGATGTGTTGTGGCAGGTTGAACTGATGATGTATAAATATGGGTTATGTTTTATTTTGCTTATGACTGGTTGGTTGGCTGTTTTTTGTTGCATTAATATTCTCTGACTGTAATGATATGAATTCAGTGACTGGTCGACTATATTCAATAAGTCATTTCCGTTAGTTTATGATACTTATGTGTTGGTAAAATAGTGATAATGTATTGGTTGCATCACTTAACTTTCAACCCTTAGGTTATAAGTTTTAACCTCACTTCACCTACTTTGGTTCGAACTGATGGTTTTAATCTCAAGTGTACGTCCAGTCAATATGAGTTGTGATTTGGGTACTACATCACATAAAGTAGACTGTTTTATATAGTTAATAATCCCCATTCACTTGTTTCCACTCTGTAAAATTGTGTCAACATGCTTTGGTTTTGATTGGACATTTTATTTTCTACGTTCACATGATTTAGCAAATCTCATGTTTTAACAGTATCCTTGGCCTTCTTCACATGATTATCATGACTCCCAGCCAAGTTTATAAACATATACTTCGTAAATAAGTTGCCGATGAAAATCATTTTTATATTTGTAATAAATATCTGCATATGTCTACAGCATGCGTTGTTATTTCTTGTTTTGATAATCAATTGTGATATTATTAAAACTGAAATTACATCAGTTTAGTTCAGATGACATGATCAACTCTGTGCTTTTATTCTCTCTGTATTCTTTCTATGTCTTATTCAGGATAAAACTAATCCAATTTATGTGTTTACGCAAACATTTTCAAATGATACAACTGTTCAAAAACCAGATGTCTTGCAAGTCAATGGTTAGTTTAATTGTTTTCTGTATTATTTTACGTAATAAAATGAATTAGATTTGAAAATAAGGCTTTTGCCACTACTTTTAACCGTTGGACTGCTAAAATCATCAGATAAAAGTATTTATAGTTCAAAATCATTGCTGTATACCATTGAGAAGTGGGAACGTACAGTCCATTAGTCCACTTTGTCCATCTTTAGTCTTAATCTACTACATTCTCTTGAAACCCTTCAATAATGTAGTCTTTCGAAGAGTCCAATGTAAACCGTGTTATTTGGATATATTGGTGATGTGTATCATAGTTCAGTCAGTCATCATGAGAAGCAGTATCTAAAATAAATATGCCTTGAATCAACATTTACAACAAGAAAAAATCAGGATTAAAAACGATATTTTGGGTGATTGTAAAATAAATAAAACAGTCAAAATTGTTGTATCCTCAGCTTCATATTGATTGCTTGTATAATAGGGTTTTCTAATTGTAGGAGTAGTTGATTATGGGGTCCAATGTACGTCTATTAGATCAGCGACCTGTACATCTAATGATAAATTGTTGACCTTCTCTTAATCAATAATTCAATAACCGTGATTAATGAATACGAAATCTTAACGCCTATTGATTGGTTCAACTAGCTCCTGTAGCCACAACGGTCATTCCGAACAAGAACACTGCAAGCAGTTAGACCTGTTGTTATGTCATTCTTTTTCGTCATTTCTGCTGAAAAAAACTCATATGATCATAAACATTGATTCCACATCCACAACAAAACCTCAAATAAGAAGTTACCTTAAGTGATACAAACCTGAGTGATTAGGTTCACCACCAGTATAAATCGGAGTTGACAGTAAATAGGTATGTGTAACACATGTTCATCCCGTTAATCGATAAAGATTTGTATTCTGATCAACCAATTTACCATCTATACCTATCCCTTTACACCTAACTTCAAAATCACTTATTACATAGTTTTTTTTTCATTTCCTCTTGTAAAATTACATAATATCCGTACAGCATATGATTTATACCGAGAATATCACATTATATCCTTACTTGTTACAATGGAATAATAGTTAGAGCGCTCTATTTCCGACCAGTAGTTCCCCCATTGTAATCCCATTTCACCTATTTCAATTTCAGCGATTGGCAAGCATCATAGTTCCCTTATAAAAACTTTGTGACACTTCCAAATACTTAAATGTTTACTTGATAAATGTATTACAGTGTACTCTTTTTATTATTTAAGTATAAATCCGCTAACACTTATTCATTTTTCAATCTAACAAACCAGTCAACGAGCTAAACTAGTTTGCTATGTGTTTTCGAATTCGTTTACCATTACACTCTTTGTCTTCCCTTAAACCTTGAGATCAAAATTACTTTATACCTTTCTTTCTACAAACTAGTTTTTTTCTCCCTGTATCATATCGTCATATGAAATCGTTTTTTACTGCCACTGAAGTAACTGGTTATATAAATTTGGTGTTCATCTTGTTGTGCGAATGAGGTATGGCAACTTAGATCGATGCATATATTTGCTTGGTCGTACTTTTTGACTGACTGAATATTACTGGAACAAGCTAGGTGGTTTCCAGAAATTATACGTTTTTTTCTTCCGAATTTCCAGTAAAGGTGGGCAGTTATTGGTTTGTACATTTGCCAATTTTTCGAAATTCGTCTAGGTGTATACATTCAATTTAGTTGCAATATGCCTATCAGTTTTATGCTATACGTAATAAATTTATTAAATTCCAAAATAGATTTATTTTTCTAATTTTACTTGTCCAATTTAAACTTCTCTATAATTCTGTGAAAAAGTCTTTAGAGTTTCTTAAAATGCTGGAAATATTCCGATCAGTTAGTATTCTATGGATGTTAGCGGGACATAGACTGGATTAAAGCATGTTCGATGCACGATTGCTTTGATGCAAGCTGATTGGGTAATTCTTACCCAATCAGCACTGGTCGATACTTGGAGAATGCTCTAGAATCTTCTCATGTAAAAACTATAAATATACTAACGTTTTCCCTATTGTGCTTCTTACTTCCATCTAACCTTGTTATTTGGAATATAATCTCTTTTCCTGTTCAACCGTGTTCTGGTTTGGGGACTTATCGAGTGATTTGGTGTCCAAGACTACTAAGCAATAGGAATAGCTGGGTTATAACGTAAGAGAGAAATATAACAATGGAATTCTAAAGTTTTCCTCTGGAATAATGAGTTACGTAATTGGTTAGATTGGTTTCGTTATAAGTTTTAGCATGTTCCAAGAGTCTTCTACAAGTTTAAGTTATACATCATTTGTTTTCTTTCTTTAAATAAATTATCAATCGTGTTTTCTTGTCGATATTTAACTACGAAAAATGAATAAATTCTTTTCTTTTCAATATCACAGATGGAGGGTATCCACGACAACTTGCCAGTCTATTAGAGTTAGCTCCATCTGAAAAGGTATTTGAAGAGCGACTACGTCTTATTCGTTCACTTACTCCGATTGGTCGTGAAGCTGCCAATGCAATTGAACAATTGGTTTCTGAACAACGTCAAATGATACAGGTTTATACGTCCGCATATATGTAGTTTGTGTGACTTTTTATCAGTAGTATATTTACACACTAATAATGCGATTGATTGAAAAGTATTTTAAACGTGATAGGTCAATGTTAAAAGTATAATTTAGTGATGATTTTAGCGGGTCTTTAAATGATATAGAAGCCAATATTTAGCTGATCAGAATGTAGGTGATATAAGTGAATAATTGATTATATAGAAACTCGAATCAAGTTTTTGTTTAGAATTACCTCATAGGGTTAATTTTAGGATTTAGCATTAAGGTTTAGGGGTAATGGTTAGGAATAGAGGGAAATATTACCTTGTCACATGAATGAATACATGTTCAGTTTTTTATCATTATTGTAAACGTCAATCACATTTAAGTGATCTCCATACATTCATAAATCATAATCTCTATTACACTCCCCTCATGTCTATTAATTTAAAGCATGTTTGTAAGTTTTACTTAGTTTTTTATGACTTTCAAGGTATTCATTATCGCGTTTCGAATTTTGCGCAAAAATCCAATAGCCATAATCATAAATAGGATTCGTTTGTCAGTGAATTCTACTTTCAACCAGATGGATTGAATGTTTCAGTCAAATTAGTATCAATATTTTCCACGTTGAAAACCACATGAAAACCCAATTTCTACGACAACTAAGATATGAAGCTTAACTGCAATTACTGATAAACAGACACTTCATGTTTGAACCCCGAATTCCACCGCATTTCTATTGGGATAATCGAGCAGTTTTTTTAGTAATAATTTGCATCAACTGTTGTGTTTTAAACAAAGCTGAATTCATGTCTGATTGTTAAGTTTTGTTCGTACTTATTACTAACTTAACAGACACACATACGCAGATCATTTGGATTTGGTTATCGAATGTTACGACTACTGATAAGAATCTTTCAAATGATTTGTTTAATTCGGAATAAAATAGAGTTTAGCTGATCAGTTGGATTATAAAATAAAGAGCTTACCGATTTACAGTTGTCGTTTGTGATGGAGATCAAATTATATAGATCATGAGTATTAGAGACAGTGGGTGAGTTAGTAGTACTCGATCGTAATTTGAGGCTTGCTGCTATTCAATATTATGAGGGGTTTGTGGAAACTGTAGGATTTTATGATTTTCTTTACAGACTTTAGACAAATATTGAGTACCAATAAGTACTGATTAAAAGATTTATCCTAGTATAAGACTTTGTTAGTGCTCATTTAATACAGTAACGGTGATCATTGAATAGAAGACCTTCAGATATCGTAGCTAGCACTTGACATTTAAAGCATTGAGTTATTATTCAATGTTATACATTTCTAAATTTATTGAAAATAATCAAACTTTAGTTGTATCGAGCAATAAAATAGAGATTTCTTAATGAATTACGAGGATCCTAAAATCTTTGATTTGCTATAAATCACTCATATTTAGTAACTTATGCCAATTTCCAACTGGTTATCACTTTTCTATGGATTTGTATGTTTGTTGAATACAAATTAATTGTTCACAATATTATAAATGGTATAAAATGCGATTTCATCATTTCACCTTGTGATTTGTCGATATGTATATGTTTGCAATTAGATAAAAGGGATTCTTGTTTAAATCAAATACAATTATTGGTATTTATAAAGTGGGATTTTGTATCTGCTAATATTTATACCTCTGTCAGCCTATATATACTTCCTATTTAATGTGAATATTTTTCTTGTTAAATTCAGTTCATGACATTTAAGCCTCTTATAATTCATTGACAGTTAGTTAGCTGTTACATGTACATTTTACTAAAATAATTTTAGTATTACTATTTAAGTTTAGAAAAATGTCGATATCAGTCGGACCTTACTGATCTATTACTCTTATTCTGTATTTATATTATTTAAATTTGATATTCTGTGGTCTGAAAATTTGACATGATTATATTTGCATAATCAATTCATAATACCCTTTAGGTTAAGAAAAACTACAGTTGATGAAGGGCGTTATCATGTGTGTTTGTATTTCAGAAGTTGACAATCGTTGACAATATTTCAGTGATTCACATCTCTGTTCTGACTTAAAATGAAGCATACATGGGTTTTACGAGTTCGTTATTCTGTAGCTACTAAGATGATTCATTGAGATATCGTGTTTCTTAGGATATTAGAGATTCTATATCAATTGGTCAAAGTGATCTCGTATGGTGTTAGAAGTATGAAGGCGATTATTATATCTCCGTTTCTCATACTGTGGTAGGACACGTCTTTTCGAGGTAACTGAAAAGCAAAATAATTTAGTTGTTTTGACTATCTGAGTATGATCGCAGCGCTGAAGAGATAACTGCTTGATACTACTCACAGATGGTCTTTTTATGAATAGTTTTAAAGTATTAGGTCAGTACCTTTAAAGCCTTATAGCCGGCAATGGAAATCCATGAGGCAAAGTAAAGTATGCTATTTTAATTGGGGAATCTTTTATCAACTCTCTTGTTGTCACAAGGTAGCATCACTATTGCTGTTGGTTGCTTAAAGAAAACAGCTTATTGCCATTATTTTCCCAAGTACATTTGACTTTACGTCTTCACAATCAGATCATGTGTTTGTTACTTTTGTTCTTACTTTTACCCTCCAACTGATACACATGGTATAGTAGGATAAAAGGGACCAAATTTCCCAGCTGACTTAGCTCGACTTAGTTGATACGATATACAGTCTTGATCACCACGTAAAGGTGGTAGGTACGATCTGTAGGCATTATGTATTCTATGAAACCAAGAGATAAAACTTTCAATTTCAATATATGTATATCTGTCTAGGTCGGAATTAAATGAAACCATATTTTCCTAACTTGTCGCTTTATTTTTTAGGGGTGGTGTGTTGCATTGGCTAATTTAGCCGAAGTAGCGGCAGATACAAATAAGCGTTTGTTGTTTGCAACAAGTCGATTAGTTCAATTTGAAGGATGTGTATCAGATTGGGAACGAAAATTGTACAAGTATGTTGAAATATGCATTATTTTAAGATTACCATTTACTAATATTGTGCATATTTTAATTAGATTTGTAATAACAATAATAATAGCAATCTAATGTTTTACGTGCTTTACCCATAAATAATCAGTTATTGATAAATACTGCTAACCAGTAAACATCAATGATGTTAAGATCAGATTCTACTACTGAATTGCTTTGTGGTTTTCAGCTTTTTTCAGCCAATCAGAAAGCATCAAATATGGACGATTGAATTACAATACAAAATCAAAGAATTTAGCAATAATGTAGCATTCTACATGATGAATTAAATCTAATTTGTCTATAGATTCTTAATTATGCAATCTAACAATCTCCTTCTGTAATTCTTAACCATACTTCTAACAGTAAACTCTATTCTTAATAGAAATCCTAACCTTAAGAAATACTGAAGCGAAATATCATTGATTCTCAGTTATTTTATTCCCTCATTCACAAGTTAATACTTTTTTTTTAACAATCTGCAACGTCTTAATTGTATGTTCTTTATTCGGAGTCAATCACGAGACAGTTGTTAGTCAACATTTTAGTGTGTTGTGATATGGTTCAACCAACATCATCCTAGATTGATATATACACCATAACCTTGAAATCGATTTTTCTAATTTGAAATCATTCCACTTTTGTATCTTTAGCTTCAACGAATTAAAAAAGGAATTATCAGAATTGCCGTTACCACCGCAGTTGGTAGCTGGAACTAGTGAAATCTTTGATCAGAAAGAATCGGTATGTTAACTGTTTTTTTTTTCCAGATGGATATTACCCATTCACTCATTCAATATATGTTGTTATTGAGTAATATGACTTGAAGATTACTATCACTAGTTCACACTTATCATAGGCTTAAGCTCCGCATTGGATTTATCTATATATTGAAAGGTTCACTTAGTATGTCACAAGGTGTCACATTAAAACTGATAAGACTGATTCAAAGTTTGGGATTACATCAATCCATATTTTTTAAATTTTATTATGTTTTGAGAGAGATCTTTCTGATTATATGCTTGAAACGAGTCTTGAAAAGTCAATTCGAAATACATTTTATACCGTAAATGTTTGTATGAAAAGTTAACTTTTTACAACTTGACCATTTGCATGTTTATATGGTGAAACTAGATACATAGGTCTCTTTTCCATCACATTCGAGAGGATCTATCAGGCTGGTTTCATAAAAGATAGTTCAAATCAGTTTGTAGTTTGATTCAAGATATTCAGCCTCATATTCTTTCTTTGGTACTAGAAAATTTTTGTGATTCAACTTACTTTATTGTAGAAGCCTTACCTATTTAATTCTTTAAGCCTGTTACTCCTCTTGGAGCATAAGTTTCCAATCAGCAAATAAACGCTTTACACATTTACGTCTGTTACACCTCACTGAGGACCATATGCCACCCACAGTGATTCTCCGTCGAACTATGTCTTGGTCAATCCTTCCCAGTTGCTATTCATTCTTTTGATATCAGCCACCAATTACCGACGCAATGTGTTCCTTGGTCTTCCACTTCTCCTCTCTGCTTGTGGATTCCAAGTTAGCAATTGTCTCGTGATGCAGTTTGATAATTTGTCTCTTCCTAATTTCCTCTTCATTTGGAAACTGATTTGTTCTCTCTCATGATGGGTTTTTGTTGATGATATCTGGTCAACGGACATTGAGTGTCTTGTGTAGACAATTGTTTATAAATAGTTGTTCGTTTCTGATGATGGTTGTAGTAGTTGTTGAAGTTTCAGCTCCATTCAATTAGATTGTTTGGACGTTCATATTGAAGATTGTGACTTTGATATTAATATTAGTTTGTTGACAGTTGTTTTGATTTCCATATGTTTTTAAATTGTAGAAATTTTGCCCTTAGATAATTCTTGCTGACTGTACAAAAGAAAGTGAATAATTTCTATAAGGAACTATCATTTCGCCATTTAATTCAGTGGGTCTATTAGACCTATTTGTTCGACTTGTGCATGATCGAAATTTTCTATTTATTTTTAAACTCTATTTATTAATTATCTGATTTTGGGAAGTTGATAAATAACTAATTTGTTTTATGATTATTTATTTTTCAGTTCAATTTTAACAATATTCCTAAACCAACAAATTTATACGAATGGGTTTGTTTACAATCTGCTATATCTAGCGTCGGGACGCGTTATTCCTTACCATCGTCAACAATTAAAGCTGTTGGTTTACAAACGATTGCATTATATCTTGGTCGACATGCCGGTGTTGCTAGTGGTAGTACTGGACGTGTTCGTACAACAAGTACTGGTCATATTGGTGTCGTCAGTGGTGCTAATGATGGTATTATGTCAAATAATTCAGGATCCAGTTGTATTGGATCAAATCAACCTACTGGAGTTTCTTTTTATACTGGTGGTTCTCAAACTAGCTTGAATAGTTTAGGTTCTACAAATTCAACAAATTCCTCAGATATACGTTTCATCATGGATCATCATCAATATTCCATCACCAAAGATGGTAACGATACAAATGTACAGGATCCTTCTTCTTCTTCAGCACCTGATTGTTATGAGTCAGCGTTTTTAGATATAATTAAACGTGCATTACATGATATACATTCGTTACGATTTGGTCCAGATTCACCATTCAATTTTAATGCTAAACCACCGGATAATTTCAGTAGTGAATTAGTTTATGTCAGAGCGTAAGTGTATACATTTATGTGAGCTTGAATGGAGGTGTTAACAATTTTAACTATATCTTCGCTTAACCACACCGGGAGGTTCTCACGAGCACGAATATGCAATATCCTAGAACATCTGCCTATATAACTTGCTCCACAGGGGCAGTTTAATTGGTAGATACAGAAAGAAGTGGCTAGTATAGGCAATTTATCTTTCAACGTCGGAGTGGTCATCGGGTCTGTAGAAAACACTAACTGTAGTTTACCTGTATTAAAAGTCCTTTGGATTGATCTGCGTAACTTTAGTCTTAGCATTTCGCTAGGTCCATCTCCTCTGAATTGTAAGCGTATATACAGAGGCTTTTCGATCACTGTATCTATCAATTCAACTGCTGCCGCTTAGCAAGCTGTTTTGGCAGATGTTCTAGGAATTTATTTATATCTTTTTTTCAGTTCGTTTTACCACACAAACGTATTCATTTATAAGAATTCGAATCTTATTGTTGTTGGTATACTAAGGATCAAAAGATTGTTAGTCTTTATTGGTCTATTTCATGCCACGCGCAACGTAGAACCCGACACATTTGCATCAGTTCAAGTCTCTGTACTGCATTGGCACAGTGAGATAAAATTATTTCGAGATAAATCTAAAGTTGTGTGAATGTTAACAGTATTAATTGTCGTATTAGTAAAATGACTGGGTACAGAAGGAAAAAAAGGTTTAAGAAGATTTAGGAACTCAGGTTCTGAAAGAAGATGGAGAGTAAATGAACCTGAGCCATTGCGAACAATTCTAAAACATGTCACACAAAGTCTTTAATTATATGTTCTGATAATCACGCGGACTCCAATCAGGTAGCCTACACATATTAACATGGTTCAGTCCAATTGTTAATGACTTCTTAAATCGATCCTGCACCTTTGTCTGTTCACCACTACCAAACTTGAGTCAGTTACCAAATATGTTGATTGAATACTTTCTTTTGTACCTCCATAGTTTAACTGTCGTACTATGTTGACCAGCAAAATTTGAAATACACATTTATGGTATAGTGAATGGATTATTTAACTTTGAACTAATAGTTCATTAGTTTGAACCAAGCGTCATTTAATTCGCTTCATCCAGACGAGTGGCATCACTAACCCTCGTCCCTAACATACAATTCAATGTGACCTAAATCTGGCAGTAAGTAAATGTGTATTTAATAAAAAGCTTACATTCGATGATAAACGTAGTTCATTCGTTTATTTTTTTATCTTTTCATTTGTAAAATCTTGAATTTAGACAAACAAATCGTTTATGTGAACTGATTACAATGGTTACTAATTGTTCAAAATCAAATTATGATGAAATGACTACTTCTACTATGCCTCATCCTTCGACGAAATCATCATCCAACATTTCCACTACTAATCTTGTGACTGGACTAAATACTGCAATGTCTAGTTCGAAAGATATTTCTGTTGATTCATTGAACATTGGTATTACATCAAATGATTTCAATGGAGCAGTGAATAAAAGAGAAATCCCACGGTGCACATCATCGTCAACTTTATTCCCATCGAAATTGTCATATAATGATGGTGTAGATGTTATACACTTGATCAGTGTACATGATGCGTTAGATCCAGGTTATTTCAGTCAACGTCTTTCACAACTTGACCCATTATTGTGTGAAGCTGTAGATCTAGCCAGAAAAATGATTGGAATCGAACAGAATTCTATAAAAACTTTTCAACAGATAATTCAACAAAAAGTTGTAAGTTATTACATTTTTTATCAGTATAGGGTTGTGGAGATTGTTGAGTTTTAATTGAGATCATGAACCGATCGATGTTACACCACCATTGAAAACCTGGAAGCACTGGACGACCGTTTCGTCCTGGTATGGGACTCCTCAGCAGTGCGCACCCACGATCCTGAACACGGGTCTCGAAGCCAGGACCTTCTGTCTCTCGTGCAAACACTTAACCTCTATACCACTAGACCGTCATCCACGATATTGAGTGACCAACTTCCATTGTCTTCGTTATTTATCTGCTTCTCACTCGACACGGTTGAACTCGATTGGTTTTTGTCTTAGTCTTAAAAGTCATTCTGCATTTTATTCCAGTTAGTCTTTTTTTCTCCTTTCATTTCCTCTACCTTTTGTTTTCAGAATTCATTATTACAGACGAAATTTATAGAAAATACACAAAATTCACAAGAATTAATTATTGCATTCAATCGTCTTTGTGAAATTCTCGGTATTGTTATGGAGAGTAAACTTTACTGGCTAATAATTTGTTTGATCGTCAACGGTAAGTTAATTGTATTGCTTGTATTTGATTTATTCACCTTATTATTGTATAACATGTGCATATGTGTGAGTAGTAGTACTGTAGTGTAGTGACCAACATATTATAGTTTTCCAGTTCGTTTAAAAGTAACTGATTGAATTCTATTGTTCAGGTAGTAATGTGACCAACTTAGTTTGAGTAACTTAACATTGAGTGAACTATGTTGATGAGATGTTAAGTTTATTTTATTAATTGGAATTCCATAACTCTGTTCTCATTTCATAATGAATTTGGTTGTTTGGTTTACTTAAGCTTTGGACTCAATAACACAACAGTTGGCAATAGCCAAATAGTTTAGCTAACCAATTATAAATTTTTATAGTTATGATTAAATGTCCTTTGTCTCTTCATTAAACTAACAATTGATACTGTAATCTACGTTTTGTAGAACCGTTTTAATTAGGTTAAAGCAGAGATATGTCGAAGGCAGGGTACGCGGTAGTGATTTTTTAAAAATCGTATTTCCCCAAATAAAGAGTAACCAGTTTAACGTCAGGTGTTCTTAGAAATATGCGGTTCGTTGTCGCTTCCTTGGAGCACATATCCCTGGAGGATATTTATCCAGAGACCCTAAGAAGAAACTAATTTAGGGTGATGTTGATTACCTTGGATTGTAAGTGTAAAGTCCAGAGAACAGCTACTATTGAGGCCCGTCACACATGGCATCTTTTTGAGTAGTTATAAATGTGTTGACTTGCTATTTATATGACCTTGTCGCCGACTACAGAAATCAGTAGCACAAGGTGAAGTGTGAATTTTTGGAGCCAATCCCTTTTAACTTCACTCTGTTACAGAAAGTAACATAGCTAGAGATACTGGTTCTTTAAAGGAGAACACCTTTCTTTTGTCAAACCGCATTTCATTCAGCAATGCAATAACGTAGCAGCTACGATTTAGGCAATAAAACCTCATTTTAAAAGGGTTATTTTCGTCGAATTTTTAAAATGATCTTTTCACAAGCTATTCTTATAGTTACTGCCAATACACATCAATATAATATTTCAATAAAACCGAATCTATTTTCATTGTACCTCTCCCCTCGAACTAATTATTCAATTTGAAATCACCTGTTCTATTGATTTGTGTTTGCATCAGCTGATTGTGCCAAAATCAATATTTTTTCTAACAAGTAATTCATGTAAGTATTGATCCAAACAAACAATACAGTCTAGTGAAATTCAGTTGTAACAATTAAATTAAACAATAACTTCTTCGTTTTGTTAGATAGTTTAAAAATGTGAGATCATTATTATTATTATTTTACAAAACAATGTTTTAAGGTGACTGGCTCTCATGATTTCACCGTTTGTATGCTGACGTCAATATTATTATTGTGCTTCAAGTAAAGTGTAACGTTAGTTATCAAGGTCAGTTTGACACGTACTCGCTGCGGGTTTGTTGTTTACGAAATGGAATGGACGAAGTGCGAACGTCCGGAGCTTCAACCAGGTTAGCGGGTACATCTCTCAACATTGCTCCACTGACTTATGGATTAGATTTTTAGGTGAAATGCTCGAAGAGTGGCTCCTTAAGAAAACCACTTGCTTCCGTTTGGGCACCCGGGCAACATTTCAGCCTTCACACGAATCGAATGACCAAGTGTGATGCATATATTTCTGATGCATGCCCCCAAGTATCAATGTTAATGTGTTGACATAAATATTGGGATTCTACAACGCATATAACTTAATGACTAAATCAGATAAAAACAACGTCACAACATGGTCTTAATGTGTATTAGTCTAAGTTATTATATCACATCAAATTATGTTTATATATATATATATATATATATATATATATATATATATATATATATATATATATATATATATAATTTAAGAATATGAGTAGTTCTCTATACTTCTGATATTTGGGAATTTTTAAATAATTTGTCTATTCTGTTGTGTTTTGCAATCTTAAAAAAACAATCTGAATCTTCCGTATGGTAGTTACAAGTGAGGTTGTTGTGATTCGCGGTTTCCAATACTTAATACTGATAATTTCTGTGCACAACGAGCCTGGGAAGAAAGTTTCTTTTGACTAAACCGAATATATTGTATTTGCACTCATTTATGTATATATAATATATCCCTTGGGAAATCAAGCATATCAGTCACATATCTTATTCCCCGAAAATAAAAGCTCTTTCTAGCCCAGTCATATGCAGCTATCATTTAACGATATCTGATTAGTGCTCTGTATCAAAACACATTTGCAATGTTTCAACAACAAAAATGTTTTTAAGTTAAATTAATGAGTCTATCTAATTTAGACCACCATTGAGAACTGGAAGCAGTGGCCGATCATCTCGTCCTAGTATGGGACTCCTCAGCAATGCGCATCCATGGTCTCAAACGCGGGAATCGAACCTGATTTGTATGGTTATTATGTTTATTAGTATATCACAAATTTTGCAACTAAATGTTGTTTGAATGTTGTAAATCGACATGAATGAATATTTGAGAAAGGAGTTAAAATTCAATTGGTTTTTATTCACGTTTCATAATGATCACATACAATATGTATATTACGTTGAAAAATTAAATTATTGTAATGATGTTACAATTGATTTGTAAAGTACCATAATGAATGCCTACAAATCATTTTCTCTATTCATGTTATACTCACATGTGAAAATACTTCCGCTATGTGAAACTTGGAAAAATATATTGTTTTTTTTATTAAGAATGTGAAGTTCATCGTAAATTCGGTTGTCAAGAGCGTACATTCTTACATTTTGTCTATCAGTCAAGTCGAAAGTTTAAACATTGGAAACTGAGCTTTTCAGCTCACAGTTAGACTAAGAAATCTAAATGGTGCAACTAGTTTCATACTGGGACTAACTTACAATGCTAATTTGGCAAGATATATGGGAAAAGTCTTAGTGATCACTGAATACAGTGATTGATTGGTACATTTTTATATGGAATAGAATTTCCACCTTTTACGTAGGGCATTTCCTGAGATTATAACATGATATGTTATGACTCATATCAATCAGTTATTAATCTAAAAAAATCAATATACTGGTACCTCACCTTGGCTTGTTCAACACTAGCTTTCTTCCAACGATCAAACATCAAATGTTAATATGTGAAGTGGTTGGGTGGTATATATAATATATATCTAACCATCTCAGTCGGTAATGACTGACTAAGCTCATTGTTTGATTTTCTACTTTCACCTCGTACCTTGGGTCCAACCGAAATATTGATTATTTATTGGTCCCAATCTACATCATCTATTATCAAACACTACAATTCTGCGAGCATCCATCTCGTTCAGATTTCAATCTCTCTCTACCTACTTTGACTTGGCAACTAAGTAGTATCACTTATCTTCATACACTTAGAGTGTGACTTGAATGTAACTGAACAATTATTTGCACGGCCAAGTGAGTTGATAATTAAAAATCCATTTCATGTTAAGCTATACATACAGTACAAGTTCTAGTATGTACACTTTCATCTCAATAAAATTATACTTGTACGGTTTCACTAATTTGTAGTGTGAAATTAAAAAAAATCTGTAAAATACATAACAACTAATAAAAAGGTTCTTTTTTATGCGTATGGTGAATCATCATTGTTCTCAATGTTGAATAATATTGCAATATCCAGTATTTTTAGGCATTTTTCTGGTCATTTAATGACTGAGTGTTGCATATAAGAGTTTAATTTTCACTAGGTATCTCATTTCTATCAATATAAAGCTATCTAGGTATAACTTTATTTAAAACACTGCATTGTAGCCCATCCTCATCCCAATTTACCAGAGCTTTAGAAAAAAAATTGTCAGTGGATATTATGCACTTACATACAGCACTCAGTCACTGAATAAACAATAATTTGCTTGAAAAATGCTTAATATCACACACAAATTGAACATAAAACAAATGCGCTACAAATCCATGAACACACGAGTCTTATCCTTTTTCTTCAACTAGTTAATTATTTAAAAGTTGGACTATTGGAGATATTTCGTTACGTTATCATGTTTTAATAGAAAATATTCTCATTTTCTGTGCATCAATTTTATTGTTGTCAGAAATACTATTACCAAAGTATATATATATATATATATATATATATATATATATATATATATATAATTGTGATTGTGAACCGATCAAAATTAGAAAACCATTGAAAACTTAAAAGCACTTAACAGTAGCTTTGTCTTAATACACCACAGATGCCTTAGATATATTGTTGGAGTCTGCTGGGATCACCGAGTAAGTAATAGTGAAGTTAAACTCAGGGTATTAGGGAATGATGGTAAATCAGTTGATGAGGTTGTGAATCTCCATCGACTGAGATGGTTGGGCCACGTATTACGTATGCCTGAACACCGATTACCACGATGTGCAATGCTAACCGGTGTTGGAGATGGTTGGAAGAAAGTTGTGGGCGGCCAAACCAAAACGTGGCATCAGTCCTTGAAGTCACTAATTTCTAGTCTGAACCATGTTGGTAGATGCAGACTACTTGATTGGGGTCCGTGTGACTATCGTAACTAATGGTTGGAGACTCTTGGTGACATGGCTCAGAATCGATCACAATGGCGTCGGTGTATACACTCCCTGTCTTCCCTTAAACTAAGAGATTAAAATCTCTTCATATCTTTCTTTCTTCGTACTAAATCTTTCTTCCTGTACTATATCCTTATATGCAATCTTTCTTTTATATATCACCACCTCTACTTTTATGAATCCGGTGTTCATCTTGTTGTATTAATGAGGTATGGCAACTTGGGCCGATGCATATATGTGCCTGGTCCTACGTTGTAGCTGACTGACTGACTTGTCTTAATACAGGATTCTTTTGTAGTGTGCATCCACAATTTCGTCGTCGGGGGTCGAACCCAAGCCCTTTTTTCTCGCACACGGGCGCTTAATCTTGAAACCCTTGAGCTAAAATCTAGTAGTATACAAGTCAAAAATACATGTATAACTTTTT